AAGAATGCGACGTCATGCGGTCCGTTGTCCGCTCCGATGGCCTGTCCATCAAGGTCCCACCAGCCGCCCACTCCCGCACATGATGTTTTTCGGCCGATCATTGGCTGCATTCGATTCTCAAGTGTTCGAGTCTGTTGGGGGAGAAATGAAAGAGTCCGGGGTCACCCAAGGCGAGGCCGTCCTATTCAGATTTCTCATGCTACTGGTAGAACATCTCTCTACGGGACGGCCTATGCCTTTTGGCCTGCGAAAGCTACCCAAGTGGGCCCTAACAGAGCAAGAGCTTCGACCTTTTGATATATCGCGCCATGGTGGCTTCAACCAAAGATGGGTATCAGCCGAGCAGCACTGGAAGGCCAACGCTAGCTTGAGAGTCAGAAATTTGCAGCCTGGATTACATCACAGCTTACGCGCTCCGCAGGACTTGGGAAGGGCATACGACTCAAGGCCGCTCAGATGACCTGAGTCAGGTCGATCGAGACTAAGGTAATACCCTCCTCCCTGTTAGCTTGTCGTCCATCGTTCTTCGCATAACCGCTATCACTCGCCAGCTACTCAATCGTTCAGGCTCACAAAGGAAGTGTTCATAACCTCTACTTTGCTCTAGAAGAAGTCCTCATATAATAGGAAGTCCTCACATAATAAGAAGTCCTCATATGACAAGAAGTCCTCATATAATAGGAAGTCCTCATATAGCACTAAGTCCTCGTATGTAAATACCGGTGGTGCATGTATTTTTCCCGTCTTGTATAAGTTGTGTTATAAAACGAGTGGCCCAGAATGCTCGAAGTCCTAGGGTGCTAAGAAGGATATAAAGCCACTAATTCTAGCTTATGCAGTAGAAACCTGAGGTTTCAAAGCTGTGAGTTTGGATGTGTAGATCCTGCGTGACAGGGTTTAGTGCACGTTTCATCGCCGTTCACAATCGTAGCAGATACCGGGCGTCTGATGCCCAATATATACCATCCCGTGATAACTTTTGACAACAAATCAGGGGCATTAGTAATGCCGCATAATGCGGCCCGCATTGTTCACTTGATTGGTCAGCAACTAACGGTCAGTGATCGAGAAACATGTGGGAAACAAGTGCAACTTGCGCAGACTTGAACCCTGTTTCTTAGGTGCTCAACGGTTGAGCGAATCATGCCAGGTCAAATTATGGATTATTCGGGTTTAATAACAAATTGTTGTTAACAATAATATGGCCATAATATGAGTCATATTATATTACGAAACTGGGTCTCCTGAACAGCTTAAGGGACCTCGGTGGGAATCACCGCGTATGAATAGGTTCATTGATCGGATCAGGAGTTTCCAGATAATTAATGAGATACAGGGCAGGGACGGATCGATGCGACTACAAGCTGAACCCACAAGAGAAATCAACGATAACCAAAACGCATGTGCCGCAAAACGCACCGAATGGGAGTGTCATATACATAAAGAATAAGGATCTGAGAATACATGTTGATCATCTTCAGTTGCGATA